ATAAATGCAGTGATGAATCATTAGAAATATTCTAAGCATTTAATGTATAAATTCTTTCGGATTTTCCGACAGATGCATTATAGAACAGAGTAAACTAATTTCCATCTTAATAATGATTAAAATCAGTAATATTACCAGAACGTAAATGCAGAGATTTATTATTAGCCAGTGATTTGTGAATTCGTGTTGTATTAATTCATTGGCCTTGTCGAGTCCATATTTTATCTGTTCTGTTAGTCTGTTGCTTTCTTGGTTGATCTCGTCCAAAATATCCAGTTTTGCTTAAGTTGTTTGATAATCACTACTGATTTGTCGTCGAGATAAGGTCTCTAATTATGCTTCTATTCGCTCGATCTCGAATTTATTGATCACTCCATTATTGAATTTAATCGGCTTTAAATGGAAACTCTTCGGCTAACATCGTGCTATTAATAAATTTTCATTGATTCTTTTTGCAATTGCATCGTCTCTTTGTAGAATCAATTTGGCTGCCAAAGTGGGTTTGCTGTGTGATAACCATTCAATAAGCGCTAATAGGTCATTACAGTTGTTTAGATACTTTGTTTAACCATTGCTTAAATTCTCGAAGATTATCGAAGGTATATTGAAACTTTGTGTTTCCCGAGTCGATTTCCTCAACTGGTTGTTTCTAACATAATTAAATTTCTTTCAAAGGTTGAATTTATCTGCTTTGTGGTTTGAGTAAGAATTTTGGTAATTACCTTGTCGATAATGATATCGTTGTTCATTAAGTGTGGACCGATAAATTTACAATTTGTCGTAGTGACAGCCTCATTTCCTTTGAAAATGAGATTTGAAGGGCGTAATTGTCGTATATCTTCGCCTTGTAGTTTCCGATTTCTCGACAAAAGCACTTACAGCTTCCGTTTCGTTCCAGAGAACAATGCTGGAGTTGGTTGTACATTTTCTTACTTGTGTGACGCAATGTTGAATAGCATCAAGACCTGAGACTGAATAGCATCAAGACCTGAGAAATAATTTGAAGTCAATGTTGAAGAAATAATCTGAATCGTATCGTCGAAGGGACTAAAAGGGATAATAGGTTGTATTGTCAAGCAACCAATTGTATAATAGTTCTTTTAGTTATTTCCTTTTAGTCCATGGCTTTAATGTTATGAGAATTCGAGTTCGTTTTGGCTTTGTCGTATTCGTGCATTCTTTTGTTAAAATTTTCATCATTTTTGATTTTCATCATTTTTAATTTGAAAGGAATTCCTTTATGTCCATCAAATTTCTTCGAAGATGATTTTCATTTGCTTGTACTTTAGCAAGGCTTCTTCTATTTCATCGCTAAATAAGACAACGTTATCCACATGAATATTTTTTATTTTCAAGACTGTCTTACTGCCGTATTTTTCCAAATGATAATTAAGTGTAGCAGATAATAAAAAGGATGATGTTATTACTCCGAAAGAGATTCTTCTAAAGCAGTAACATTTTACGTTCTCTTACGTCTTCATTTATATCGTTTAGCCAAGGAATCTAGTACATTTTCTTTCTTCGGGATGTAATTCTATTTACAAAAATGTCCTTCCAATATCGATTGTAATTACTATTTTCATCATTCGGAAACGTAGTAGTATTCCTACCAAATCTGGCAGCATGACTGGATCTCGGTACAATACTTCGTTCAAGTTTTTCGATCCTTTGAGATGTGCTGAAGCATCATAAACAATTCTTAACTTGGTTGTAGTCTTGTTGGGAATTAATACACCATGATGTGGTAGATACGATGTACTTCTTCGATTACATCTGACCATAACTGGTCCTTGATTGTTTCGCTATATATATAGGTGGAGAATTGATTCATGTTGAAATCGTTTGATCAGATTCCTTAGACGACCAATACGTAATCCATAGTTATTACTTAATTTGTTCTTAGATTCTTTCCATGACCAACGTACATGATATCTTTCATCATGTTTGATAATAATTCCCTTGAATTGTTTCAATGCTTCGTTATCGTTAACATTGGGTTGTTCATGAATTCCCATAATTTCCAATCTCCAGAGCTTTTCTATCCCCGATTCGTAGTTTACATTGGCCATAAATAATATGTTCGAAGTACGTACAATATCCATGTTACAAAGTTTGTTTATATCAGCACTTTCAATAATCATGGGCCCAATTTTCCTATGGAGTAGTCTATTTCTGTTGGATTTAATGGATGAGCTAAGTCCTAGTGAATATTCAGAATTTAGTTTTCTGATTCCTTTCAATTCAACAAATTTGAACTACCTCAATTAATATGTCGAGCCGTTTCCAATAATTCCTTAGACCCATTAGTTGACCCTCTATCGGTATTTTGGCTACTTGCAATTCATTGATTAAGTAGTCGATTACATTAGCATCCAGTGTTATAGTTTCCTTTGTTTTAGTTTGCAACCTAATTGCGTTTGAGTGGCGAGACACGACCTAGGTTTCTTAATACCAAATGGGGCTAGTTTTAATTCTTGCTCTTTCATTTCTGTTGAATTTAATGGATGCGTTAAGTCCTTTGATATGAAGGATAACTGCGATCCTATATCAAACAACGATCCTATATCAAACAATGCTAACGTTTCTTCCTGACGTTATGGTATTAATGGACTGAAAACTAATATCTCTTTACATAAAAGAAATGTTTTTTACCTTGTTATTTCATTACCGAGTTAGTTTGAGTTGTGGAATTGAGTTCTGCGTAGATGACCAATTTTCCTTTCTGCTAGCATTTTCAATTTCATCGATCGTTTGATTCCTATTTAAGCATATTGTTTTGCTATAAAGTGTTCGGTTTCTCTTGTTACATAGTGCACTGTTGTGAGAAGTTTTACAAGAAAAACACTTTACCTTTCTTTGTATCCTCGCCTTAATGTCTTTCTTTGAAACAAAGGGTACATCNGTTTTTTTTTTTTTTTTTTTTTTTTNTTTTTTTTTGAGATGTTTCGCTCGAATGTTCGTTGTACGATAGATGCAACGTTCACTACCCCAATTATCTTGGCTACAAAATGCACAAGGTCTTCTTTTTTCTGCCGTTTTCTTTGTTGTAAAATGAGGAGTTTTCTCCCTGTTATAAATTGTTGAAGTTTTTCTGACGTTGTTTCTGAGACCTTGCCTAGGTTTAGGTATGATTGGTTCCCTGTTAACTTGAGTAATTGAGAGTTGGTTTCTAACTTGTTCATTTATACTGAACAAGTTTTCAAGGAAATTTCTGAGCTTAGAGACTAACCGCGGGACATCGACATTTTTTTGATGGTATACTTTACCTAGTATCCATTTTGGCAATCTGCTTTCGATTGCAGTTTCAGTGCTAGAATGTTTTAGGTTTTCTCCTAGAGTCTCTAATTGTCGGAAAATTCTTTACATCCTTTCAGCGGATTCAATCCATTCCTTGTCGTTCCCCTCATAGATTGTAATCCACTATACAACGACTTGGTTATAGTCGATAATTCACCGTATTTTTCTATCAGCACTCTTCTTACGACCTCATAGTTTTCTGGAATTATGTCTTGTCCTCTTACCGCTTATAATGCATTTCTTTTAAACAAGAAACCAAATAATTCGATTCTTAGATTTAAGGAATGACCTAAGAATATACTGTGGCATCAAAACTGCTCCAAAATTCTCTACATTATCGAGGACCCCCACTAAAGGTATTTAATGATAATTGTAGTAAGTTGACTGTGGAATGAATGTGGAATAAGAAGTTGGTTTTGACGGGTTCCATTTTTAAAACAAGCTTGAGTTCTCGTGACAATCGCATTAGTTCTTGGTCGGTTTCGTTCTTGTACATGGTTAAGGTGATAGCCGCTTCTTTCCCTTCATGCATTAGCTCAAAGATTCCCTTATCTTTTTTCGTGGTTTCTGCGTATTTGTCCTCTTCTTCCTTTCATCTTTTGAAAGAGCTGCACTCTTTCAATTTCAATATATTCGAGCCACTTATCATTTGCAGATTCTGGCGTATTACTACACATTTCAATTCGTAATTTTTTTCGATGAGTCGTTTTCTTCGTAAAATTCGTATCATTTTTTCGTTACTAAACTTTGTGCCGGACCTTTCTTTTGAAAATTTGATACTTGCTATTATACTAGCGACCATCGCACTCTCACCTCAAGCATCAAAAATTTTGTTGTGAAAGGGTTTCTTTTGCAAAGAAATATTAAACTGAGATAAAGGCAAGCTTACGTGAATCCTTTTGGATCCACGTAAGCTTGCTTTTATTTCAATTATCTCAACATTTCGGATACAAAATCAAGTTCCAAATGCATATCAAAAGAGTAAGCTGAGTTATTATTGCACGTAAAAATATAATTTACTTTATTTACTTTACACCTCCTTTGAAACTTTCTTTCGCATCAATAATAGCTGCACGATCAGATATAATAAATGAAACTCATCATAGAAATGCCGATAGTTTTTCCTATTTTTTTATGTTTCAAACAAGTGTAAGAACCATTTAATGCAGTGATCAATGAATTTCGTCAGAGTAAAATCTACCAACATTTCACGTTAGATTTGAGAACTTAACTGCTTATTCCATAGATAAATCATGAAATACAGACGACCTACAGCAAATAGAGAAAAGTTCAAATAAATTCCCACACATATATACATAGACATGCTTATGTCCTGAAACTGCATCACGATGGCTATTCAAATTAGTTAAAAATCATTCGAGCTGAAACAAAAAAAAGGATGAATGAAACTCAAATGACTTGAAAAATAGTTCAAGTCCCGTCCAGCAGATTCCTCGACATATAATTAACGCTGCATTTGCGCTGTAAGGGCACCTGTGACACTTTTTGTCGCTATATTTTCTATCAACAAAATTTACCTACATCGCTGCATGAAACGCATCAGTTTGAAACCCCCTCATCCATTGTTGGCACCGCTTTCGTATTTGACGAACTTTGCTCGCACTGAGCACGACCACTTTTCACAACAGCTCGGGCAAACTCGTCTTTTATCATTAACTGTGCTGTTCCGGACCAACACAGGGCATTTTTCCACAGCACCACAGCAAGTCCAATAGCGTACTCTTCCTGAGCAATTCTAAAAGATTATGCAAAAACATTTTCTTTGTAATGAATGCATCATATTGTGCAACCTGCAAATTATAATACTAAAAATTAAACTTCAAATTAGATTACAAAGAGTAAAAGAACTTCTTAGCTCTTTTGCCCCTTAAAAGAGTTGAGGAATGCTTTGGAATTGAGTAACGACAGGAATTGGTCAAAAATTTATATTACGTTAGTAAAAAAAAAAGCTGTTCTTCACGCAAAGGCTAATATTGCCAGAAATTCGAGTGAACTTCTTCAAACATAATTAATTCCAGTCAGCTAAAATTAAAATGAAAGACCAAAAACATTGCGTTCACCAGTAAGTTCAGATATTTTCTTTATTAGAATATTGTTTCTTATTAAGATATTTATCCAATGAGAGTTGTAATTTTGTTGTTCAATGTTTTCACCTTTTAAAGACTAATTTGTTCAACCCAAAAATTAGTAAATCATCCTAACTGATACCTTTCACTCTGAACATCAAATATGGCAAGTGCCAAGAAATTCTGTTGTTTAACTGCTACACAACATAAGAATCAGTTCAACAATTCAACTTTACATTGCTATGACATTGTTAAATTATCTCAAAACTTATTGAAAGACAGTGGAATACCTTAATCAAGTTCTTATAAGAAAAATTTGTTGACAAACCTGGACAGAATTTTGAGATACTTGTAGACCATGAAGAGACGAACCGGGCTGCCACTTTTCTAAAATTTCCAAGAATTCGGATGACTTCAGTGAAGAAAGTGCTTCCGGTTTCGAAATCAAAAGCAATGGAGCCAAGGCACTCAATTTTTTGCTTTTAACAATACGATCACCAACAGCGAAAGTACTCAGCAAATCCGAGAAAGCTTTGGACTGAACCTTGAAATTAGGGTGTTTGCACATTAAATCCAGGACAACATCAATGAATGCAAATAATTCACTTCCTTCCTGTTCATTATTATTATCCGTTATTGCTCCCATTTCTTCTGACGGTATATGCACAAGTAATTCAATTGCATGGATGAGATCACCAGCCAATAAATGGATATATACAGCAGGAAGGCAATGCACTGGATTTCCAAGCAGATGAGAAGAAATATTTGAGATTGCATTTGAGTCCATTTTTTTGGCAAAATCAATGAAATTGCGTTTTCCCAGTTCGTCGAAACACACTTCTAAAATTCGAATAAATTATCTTAAAATTTAACATACGCATTCAAAAAAATGTTTTCTTTAATAAAAACCCCCACATCGAGAAATGAGTTATTGAAACGATGAAAGTAATACAGTTTAAAAAACCTGTAAGCGCAAACGCAACCAGATATGGAAACTTTGTTGGTCGTGGTATGCAAGGTCTAACACCAGCCATTTCAATTGTTTTCGAAGGACCTTTCGCAGTTTTGAATACAATTTTACGATTAACTGATGAAGAAATGTTTGACTCAATACCCAAATGGCCCTTACAATTTCTCCCCCAAACGTAAACGGTTCCTTTAGATGTTACTGCAGTTGTGAAATCGTATCCTACAATAAAAAGAAAAAAACAATTAAATTTATGCACAACAAGGAAGAAACACGAATAAATTTCAGAAATATTTTAGTAAAGTATAGGATATGAATTGTTACCACAGGAAACGAAATCCCAAGCTACATTTGCCGGTTCAAAGATCTGATGAGGTTCTTCTTGCTCTTTCTTGTTACCATGACCCAGTTGCATATCCAGACTTTTACCCCACGTATATAGATTTTTATATTCGTTTATAAGGGCTGAATGACTATAACCTGCATCAATGTGTATTATTCTCCCCTGCACCTGTAATTATGCAAAGTAACTTCTCAGTTGCATTTTAAGCCAATAATTTATAGAAAAACAAACACTATCAGCGGAAGACAAACCATATGTTCCAATTCAGTGACTGTTAAGTGAGCGTTACTGATTGCCAATTTATCATTTCTCTTTCCACTAGCTGGAGTACTCTTATCTGTTTCTGTGCGGAGTCTTCGTTTGACAAACATTTTCATCTTTAGTGCTTGTGGATTAATACCCCAACAATAAATTTTCTGCTCCTCGGATACAGCTAAACAGTGAAAGTACTTCGAAGCAATCATGATAACTTTGTCCGGCACAGGAACTGCTCCAGGCTCAAAACGTTTTTTATTTCAGCACCAGTACCCAGCTGTCCATATGAACCGTTGCCGCAAGAATAAACAACGCCTGATTCCATCAAAAATAATGTATGTGCATATCCACAAGCAAGTGAAATAACTCGCCCACTAAAAAAATTCCCTTCAACTCTAAATTGAGAACAAAAAAAAAAGAAAAACAATCGTTCTGGATATGAGTGAAACTGGAACAGACAATTTTGCAGCATCTTAAAAAAAAAGATTAATAGAAAAATGATTCATCAAATTGAAGAACGATAAGATTCTTAAAACAAAAGCCTACTTCAAAGACTTCACCAGACTCGGAGCCAGTTCGTCTGTAAATGAAGAGCGAGTATTAATTCCCAGCTGTCCATGAAACGACCAACCCCACGTGAAAGCATATCCTTCTTCACTAATCAGTGCTGAATGATAATGTCCAGCACATACTGTACGGGCGCTTCCATAATTATTGACAATTTCCGTTGCCAATGTAACCTCATTTGTATGACCGACACCACACTGACCAAATCTATAAATTAAGAGGATTCATTATACCCAACAAAAGTTTATGAGCTTAAGGATGATATACAACAAAAATATATAACATATAACAAAAAGTAAGTCAGTTCCTTTAACAAAACAAATTCCGTAAATGAAAAGAAAAATCCTATCTTCTAAACAATCTCGAAATTTCAATTATCAACAGCTCCGAACCTATTTCGTCCAAACGCATAGACTTTTCCATGTATAGTTAAACAGAGTAAATGTTCGGTGCCGCAAGAAACGCTACAAATTCGAACACGTGTATCCAGCATGCATAAACGAGGTACACGTTGTCCATGCGGTTTCTCACATTCTTTCGACTTTAATGGTCCTGGAGAGAATTCCCCCCTGCAGTTTAAAGGATTGTCGTTAAACAGTGTGGTCCTAGCGCGTTGAAGACCATTTCATGCGCGTTGTTTTGAGTGCTGTAATTCTAAAGTGATGCTTAAGGGATTACGAGCCACAACTACAAACGAGTTTTCCCCATAGTTTCAATCAGTGGAACTCAATTTTTCTTTAGGACTTGGACATACAGTGTCGGAATTGGACCTAAACAAACATAATATACCAGTTTTTGAGAAGAAGAGATTCAGCATG